GAAAGTACCAAAACAAACTATGCTTTGGTATACCTATTTACCCATATAAAACATGATTAAAATCTGTATTGTTCCTCAGTTTTGTCCATTACTTCCACTTTTCAAAGTCAAAACCACTGGTCAATTATTTTCAAAGAACTTCAAGGAATGCAAAACATAGGCAGTTCTCTTGCTCTGATCTGATGTCTCAGTGACATGAACACTGGGATTTGGTGACATGGACAGTGGGATTGAGTGCACCCTCAGTGAGTTTGCCTATGGCACTAAGCTGTGTGGTTTGGTTGATATGCTGGAGGGAAGGAATGCCATCCAGAGGGACCTCGACACGCTTGTGAGGTGGGCTGACACCAACCTTATGAAGTTGAACCATGCCAAGTGCAAGGTCCTACACCTGGGTTGGAGCAATCCCAGGCACAGCTACAGGTTGGGCAGAAAAGAGATTCCGAGCAGCCCTGTGGAGAAGAGCTTGGGGGTGTTGGTCAATGAGAAAATGAACATGAGCCGGCTTCAGTGTGCGCTTGCAGCCCAGAAAGCCAACCGTATCCTGGGCTGCATCCAAAGGTGTGCCCTGCAGGTTGAAGGAGGTGATCCTGCCCCTCTACTCTGCTCTCGTGAGACCTCACCTGGAGTGCTCTGTGCAGTTCTGGTGTCCTCAACATAAACAGGACATGGAACTGTTGGAAAAAGTCCAGAGGAGGACCACAAGGATGACCAGGGGACTGGAGCACCTCCCGTATGAAGACAGGCTGAGAAAGTTTGGGCTCAGCCTGGAGAAGGCCACGTGGAGACCTCATAGCAGCCTTCCAGTATCTGAAGGAGGCCTATAAGGATGCTGGGGAGGGACTCTTCATTAGGGACTGTAGTGACAGGACAAGAGGTAACAGGCTCAAACTTAAACAGGGGAAGTTTAGATTGGATATAAGGAAGAAATTCTTTCCTGTTAGGGTGGTGCAGCACTGGAATGGTTTGCCCAAGGAAGTTGTGAATGGTCCATCCCTGGGGGTTTTCAAGGCCAGGCTGAACAGAGCCTTGGGTGACATGGTTTAGTGGGAGGTGTCCCTGCCCATAGCAGGGGGGTTGGAACTTGATGATCTTAAGGTCCTTTCCAATCCAAACTATTCTATGATTTTATGATCCATGATGAGATAGATTTCATGTTTTAGTGAAACTTAGTAGCAAGACACTTTGTAATTTGAAAGAAGGTATGTATGCATAATATACTAAGAATGTACTAACTTGTGTCAAGTTGGAGATTTCAAATTAAGAAAGCAAGCCAGTGAAGTTTCAGGGGGAAAAAATAAGCTAGAGGGGCACATACCCTAAGACACATGAAATTTGACATAGGCAGTATGTGTCATTCCATTATTAGTGCTAACGAAGGGTCGTGGGAGCATGCAAAAAGCCCCAGTCAAGCATTGGTTTAGAATTTATGGTCAGACACTCTACATGGCTACATAAGACAGACAATGCAAGGAAAAAAACCTGCCACAGCAAAATGTAGAATTTTTTATTTTCACTGTAATTGTTATTACCATCTTAGGCTTTACAAATTAAAGGTTTGGCTTTTAACACAGTCAGGCAATTACCGGAAGAAACAGGCTTTTTCGTAAATTTCACTGGGTTCTACTTTCACCTGCAGGCATCCAAGTACTTTCAAAACTCTTTAAGATCTACATCACATGTAGCTCCTTCATTGATGGATTTCTCATTGTCCAAACAACCTGTCATTTCTTGCACATGTCAATAAAAGGCCTGCTCTTTTCCTGTAAGACAAATAAACCATCAAATTACTTCCATTCTAAGAGGTCATTTAAATTAGGGGTCTGCTTATAACCCATTTCTACTCCACATACATTTAACAATTTTTTTTGGTTTTGGTTTTGTTCTTCTGTTATGTTTGGGTTTTCGGATTGGTGCAAACAGCTCTACTTTCATTAATCATACAGACTTCACCTGAAATCTTTCTGGGAGACACTGTCAACACAGAGACTTCAGTTCAAATGCTGAGCTATGTATAGGCAGACCTCACCCCATGTCTCAAAAAAAAACACTGTCCTTCACTACAAATGCAACCCACAGCCTCCTAATGGCAACCACAGCATCTGCCTTGTACAAGTCCCTCTAGGAAGCTTTCTCCATCTGAAAATACGGCTTTCACTCAATGATGGGCATATACTTCAGCAGCAACTTCAAAAAATCAGAACTAAGGAAAAGTCCTGAGATGGGCAACAAGTACCTGAATAGTCAATTCAGTGGCAAACTGCTGACAGCCACCGGCTCCTAAATTCAAGCTCACTGACACTGAGATTTCCAGCAAGGTTCTTATACTTTAACTGAGATCTCGCAACACTCTTGGAAACAATGGTAATTTTTTCCTCTTCCTTGCCAATAAGGAAACTGCTTAGTGAAAAGCAAGCAGGTATATCCATGCAGCCATACAAAATGTATCTTAAGACAGTTCACATCCAAATAGCTTAAATGTTTAATTCATGCTAATATGCTGCCAAACTCCCAAATTACTAAAAATTCAGTATCTACACAAAATTCAACACTGGAATACAAGAGTGGCTGGTTTATCTTATATTAACAACAAAACATTCGTTTTAGTCAATTCAGAAATGCAGACTATCACTAACCAAGTTTCTTCTGAAGTATGACTGGCAAGCTGATACTACTACCCTTATATACTAAAGAGAGCAGTATACTTGCAATACCTTTTTCAACACTCTCCAGGATCACACAGCAAATTCTCCACCTTTTGCTGTCTTTTAAAAACAGGATTTTTTTCCTTTAGGTTCCTACTTAACCATCCATACTTTGTGCTTAAGACACCAGTAATGATAGCTAAGTGATACACTTTATGTTACTTTAATTCAATATCCTGACTAATAAAGGTTTCTAATTTACCCATCCCCTTTTGCAGCTGAATAGAATCAGAAAACTCCATTTTTTTCATATGTATGATAAACTAGCATATGCAGAGGAAAAACTTTTAAGAGCAGGCCTCACAGTCAGTTACTCTTTATTTCTAACAACACAACTATATATAACTGAGTCCTACACACATGGATCCCCCAGCCTGAAAACAATCTCTTAAAACACATGCAACCCATCTTGGCTTGCACCAGTTTTTACTATCTTTCTTTCCCTCTATCGAAATTTTTTGCGATTTTGCCATGTCATGAGCAATTTTAGAGTTCATTCATCCACTGATTATATTCTGCAGGGATTCTCCTTTACTTACGAACATAACCATGTGAAAACGTATGTATTATTGAAATTTTTCCCCCTTGGAAACTCAAGTGACAGGAAGAGGGGAAAAGAAGTTGGGAAATTCACGAGTTGTAACTTCCCTATCTGCAGGCAGGCTTGCAAACAAGTAAAGCTTTCATCTTGAGGACATGTAAAAAGTAAGATCAAGGAAGGCCAATTTCTGTCTTTTATTAGTTTAACTTTTTTTTTTTTCCCAAAGGATCAGAAGTTTACAACTCTCAAATTGTGGCCAACACAGCAGTGATCCGGACATACTTCTCCAGGATAGGAATATTACTTCTAGAAGAAATACACCCTTATGGCCTCAAAAGCAGCCTAGTATTTAGCCTGATTTGATATAAAGCTTATACCCAAGAATGTTTTCCCAAACCTGATATGTGGAATGCAAGGCATTAAATTTTTTTCTCTAAGCATACGAAGTCTTTGAGGATTACTTCTTCTTACAGGTTAAGGTGGCACTCCTGGATATCCTTCACATTCATCATTCATTTTTACTCATTTCTTCCCAACAACACAGATCAGGAATGTTAACACAAACTGCATTAAGCTCATCAGTGGACACTGATGCATGGGCAACTTAAACACTGAAACCAGACTTTCACAAAGCCAGAAATTTATCAAGATTGCTCTCTTTTATTTTCAGAAGACAGACACGGAATTCACACAGACTACTAAAGCTATGTACTGTGATTTCATGGTAGAAAGCTTTTATATGATTCCACATTGATTTTAAATTTGGAATTTCTGGAAAACAATTAAACACCACTTTTCCTTTGTATGGCACTTGCCATGGCAAGATGCCAAATACTGATTGGGGAAATCATGTACAAAAGTAACAGAGCTGAACTGTACAATCTGTCTTTTGACAGTTTTATCAATTTGGCAGGCAAGTCAGAAGAAAAATGTTTCCTATCAAATGGGTTGTCAAAACCTCCATGACTGTTTTACAACTTCAGTTAATAAAAAAATGCACTTACTGGCTTTTCAAGTACAATTGGATGATCAGGAAGAAACTCTGGCTTCTTCTGAGAGAGAGAAACACTTGAAAGTTTCAGAAGGAAATCCCTGCTGTATTTGATCCTTCCTGTCAATACACAAAATTACAACGTTCGACGTTGTTCAAGGCATTAAGGTTCGGAATTCAGAAAACTGATTTATTTCTTCTACAAAGGTGGAAATGCTGCACATAAAACACAAAAATCAGTAGTAAACCCAACAGTAATTTAAGCCTGACCTTGTCTTCGGATAATTTGTAGAAAATTACAGAGAATTTCACTTTATCAAATTGACTTATTTGAAAACTTAGGGCTTTCTTTTGTTTCTCCCTTGTTTAAAAACATATGATGAAGATGACTTCTATGAGGCCTTCAATATAGTCCCCCACAAAACCCTTCTCTCTAAACTGAAAGGTATTGATTTGATGCATTGTTTGGTGCATGAGGAATTGGTCAGATGGTCACATCCAGAGGGCAGTGGTCAATGGCTCAATGTCCAGATACATATCAGTGATGAGTGGTGTCCCTCAGGGGCCTGTACCGGGACCAGTACTGTTTAATATATTCAACAATGACACAGACAGTAGGATAGAGTGCATCCTCAAGACAGAACACTAAGCTCAAGTGGTGCAGCTGACATGCCTGAGGGACCTGGACAAGCTTGAGAATTAGGTCCATGTGAACCTTGTAAGGTTTAACATGGCCAAGTGCAAGGTCCTGCATATGGGGTGGGACAAAACCCTGGTATCAATACAGGCTGGGGAATGAAGGGACTGAGAACAACCCTGCCAAGGACTTGGGGTTACTGGTGGATAAAAAAAATGGACATGAGACAGCAATGTGCACCCATGGCCCAGAAAGCCAAACATATTCTGGGCTGCATTAAAAAGAAAAGAAGCATGACCAGCAGGTCAAAGGAGGTGATTCTGCCCCTCTTCATGAGACCCCATCTGAAGGTACTGTGCCCAGCTCTGCAGCCATCAGCACTGGAGCAGGAACATTCAGGGTCAGGTTGGACAGGGCCCTGAGCAACCTGATCTAGTTGAAGATGTCCCTGCTCATTGCAATGAGGTTAGACTTGATGACCTGTAAAGGTCCCTTCCAACTCAAAAGTATTGTATGATTCTGAAAGAAAGCAAGGAAGTGATTGAGATAGCAGCAACAAGCACTTAAGAACTGCAGAGACAGATAACTGAACAGATATGAAATGGAAATTCTTATCTAGAATTTAAGGTACAACTGGAGATAAAAATGGAGTTCCAGTGGAAATCTTACAGTGCAATGGAAGTATCTGTAGACAGCAGCTGAACAACAGGACCTTTGAAGTTGTGCTACAACTTTCCTTAAGGAAAGAATAACGACAATCTACAAACAAACAAAAGGCCTTTGTAAACAAGTGTTGAAAAAAGTTCAACATTATGGACAAATGGGGAGTAGTCTCAACAAGGCATTGCAGAGCACTTAACCACTAAAAAAGACCCAATGTGATGACTTACATGAGACTAGGATCTGATGAGAAGTCATTTAAGATCTTGTAAAACACAACAGTCTCAACACACCACAAGGAGAATCAGTAGAAGATCAGAAACAGATAGAACTTGACAAGCCTGACACCAAACTAGGTCTGAGGAACAGTATTCTATTTACTAAGACCAAGAATAGAAGAAACAAACCTGAGCCTGAAAGGGGTTACATGAAAGACTTAACTTTCAAATTAATCACAACAGTGTAAAATTACTGCTCAAGAACCTGGGTGATGGCAACCTCAGACTGAGGAAAAATAGGAAAGACTCAAAAAAAATGAACAGAATTAGTTCAGTTTTTGAGTACTAAAACCAAACCAAGTCTCCAGAGATTACTTAAGGATTGGAGATTGCAGATGGAGACTTGAGATGCCTGATATGGAAGGTATGAACAGAAGAAACTGTCTCAATGACACTGTCACAGTTCCTGTGACATATTTAAGAATGAAGATTTAGGCAGGAAGCAGTGCAGAGGAGGACTGTGAGGATACATTTGGGATCTGGGATTATTCCTTAATGAAAAAAGAGTAAAAGGTTGGCTTGTTTAAACTACCAAACAATGACAAGAACACTGTTATGTTTTCTGAGTACTGAGTGATAGGCAGTACAAAAAGAAAAGCACAAGAACCACCATTTAAGGACAGTGTTGGTAGAAGAACGAACTGTCTAGAACTAATCATGAAAGAAATTAAAGTGATTTCTAACCATCAGAAAATTAATATTTCAGAAGCACTGTAGTAAGAGTAGGAAAATGAAGCCAAACTGCTAAATTCTTTAATTGGTTCCGTGCAATAATCTGCATGCCATGACTGAGCCCTGCAACAGGCTAATGGATGCAACTCAAATCTGTACTGCTCTATACAGAAGCACTTTACACAAAAACAAGATTTTGTGTGAAGATTTTTTATGCTTTTTTTTTTTGTTTTTGTGGTCCCCCCAAAGAAACCCCAAAACAATAAAACAAAATGAAGGAAAAAAGACAGGCACACCCTTATAAGTGAGCAAATCTACTAGTGGAGGTTTCTCACCTCACCTGTGGCTAATTTGTACACTTTCTCTAGAGTGTTATATGAAAAACAGAAATGTTTCATGTAGCTCTCAAACTGTGATACAGAAGAAAGCCAAACTCTCTAAGCACCAGTTAATCAGAAAAAGTAATATTCATCCTATCCCACATTGCTTTGAAGTTCAGTTGTCTTCTATCCAGAAAATATAACTCTGACACAGATCTTTATGCAGTATTTTACCTTTTTTTGCTTCTGATTCATGCTGGTTTGGTTGACAGGGCATCATAGTTTGAGTTAAAATCTTCACTTCAGTCATTTCAGGTAACTAAAATAAGGAAGAAAGAATTAAACATTTTTTGGTATATTTCACAGCATAAAGTTACAAAGTTTGTTTATGTTAAGCACGCTAAAACACAGATATATGTTTCTGGGTTTCTTAGTAAAAAATAATAATTGCAGCACAGTTTAATTTGTGCCTGTAGAATGGTTTTTACTCTTGATTACATACAGTAAAGGAATAGTTCAACTACCTACAAAACAGTATAGGTAACCACATTTGAGACAGCAATCTTTTAGACAGAATCTCACAGTGCTATTGTTAGTTTTTAAAAATAACACAATTATCTCCTTTTCTCTGAACTCACCCAGAACACAGCCAGAAGCTGCTACACTTGGGAATAATAAAAAGAGGAAGGACTTTCCATAAAACCAAGAGAGAGATTAGGATTCTCTCATGGAGAAAAAGGTTTCATAAGCATGAAGACCTAACAACTACAGTATAACACCTGAGTTCCTTCCAGCTGCCAAAACCTTGAACTGTTTTGGAAAGTAGGAAAGCTGTTTACTCTCAACAGTTTGACTCAACTCTCAAAATGTCTCCACAGGTTTGGCTGAGGAATTGTAATCTCATTCTGAGACAGATTTAGAATCACAGAATCATAGAATCCTTAGGGTTGGAAAGGACCTTAAGATCATCTAGTTCCAACCCCATGTCATGGGCAGGGACACCTCGCACTAAAACATGCCACCCAAGACTACATCCAGCCTGGCCTTGAACACTGCCAGGGATGGAGCGTTCACAACTTCATTGGGCAACCCATTCCAGTGCTTCATCTGGGAGGACACAGGGGGAAATGGTGGGGGAGAGCAGAAAGAACTGAAAATTTTGGGAAGCAGCTGCAAAAGCAGAAGAGGTCCTAGACAGAGACAGCAGTTAACACCGTAACTGTATCACCAGCTATCATGGTGTGCTAAGAGTAGAAATCGTGAAATGGCAAAATATTTCTATTATATTATACACCCTGCTCGCACTTCCATTTTTTGTGGTTTAAATTGTTATCTTTTCCTGACTTGTCTAAAGCTGGGGGAAAAAAAAATCTGAAAAAATCTAGGGATTTTGGAGAATGAAGTTAACAGAGAACCATACTGCTAATTCTAACTGCTTTGTGATGCTCAACTAGTCTTCACAAGTCTTAGCTATTTAAAGGCTCTTTCCAAGTGCAAACAAGGATTTAACATACTCTTAAATCCACAAAAAAACACATACATGATAAAGCAGAATGTACAGCAATGTGCCAGTGTCAACACAGCATTTTTACATTTCTTCCTGCACCTTATCATCCTGCCAACTGCTTTATAATATCAAGAGTTCCATTATGTTCAGTTTTAGGTCCAATGCTTAACATTTGAGCATCACCACTCATAACAGGACTCTTAACACACATTCCTATCTGAAATATATCTACAAAGAATGGAATCCATTTATAAAGAATAACCCAAGAGCAGGGCACATATATCTGAAGCTCAACATCATTTTTAAATGGTAGATTAAGAATTAGTAATTTAAAGCTGATACTGACTGATGGGAGACTTTTCAAGCATCTCTACCTCAAATAGATCTGAGGTAGTGGACTTAACACTCTCCAGATCTGAAAATTCCTTGCACACCATGAAGTAATAAAATTTATTCTTTGCTTTAAATTATTCAGTTAGGGCACAGCGAGAATTCAGGCTTCACTTTCACTCTGAACACCAGTTTAGCAGAAATTCCCTAGAATCAAAGTTAACATCTTATATACAAGCACTGTCACCGTGCTCATTATTAACAGTAGCTCTTCTCCACTTCCTCTAAGGCTCAAGACTAAAAGTTTCAGACTCAGTAGTTTTAATTCACTGTTCTTTGTACTGAGTTAAATCTAACACTGAACAGCACTCCTGATGTTCCATAATGATGATCCTTTTCTTTCTGGCAGAAGTCTAAGCAGCTTTAAGTGTGCATACTAAATATACCAGAGTAAAGCAGTTTGGAGAATTCAGTTGCCAGATTCTTCAGTTCTTTCACTGCTTTAAGAACCTGGTTTGTGAAGAGTCGGCATTTTTTTTGTTTCTAAAGCCTCCTTTAAACATCTGTAAGTTCATGGCAAATATAATCTGCTTTACTTTTTAAAATCTTCATCATTCACCATACTTTCCAGAAAGTAACCTGTATTTCCTGTATTAACCTATATTAACTTCACTTTATTCCCTCTTTAATAGATCATCACTACATAAGACTATGACTGGTATAAAAAGTTGTAACAACTTGGTTTTCCTTTAGCCCTACTAAGTGTTATAGCAAAACTTGTTTTTCACTTTACAGTGTGTTTAGTGTTGTGCTTATGTTTTGTAAAAGGTACTATATTGGAGGAGGAGGAACGAAAGGGGATGAGGATAATTAAAGTGTTACGCTTGTAAGATACAGAGCACTATTACTGTCTTGCCAAAAAGGCAGTAAGATTTAAAGTATGTGAAATACAATTACAATTTTGAAGAACAAGTTCTTGAAGTGAAATATATACATTTTTATACATATATTATTCTAGGAATGGGGACATTTCACCATATCAGGAGCCAAAGAGTAAATGAGTAACAACGTACAGCTTTTTCAGATCATCACTGATGCTTTTTGAAACATAATATTCAGCAAGATTAAAAAAAATAAATTAAAATTCTAATGTTATTCTTTACACACAATAAACAAAGACTGTAGATGAGTACTTTTAAGTTTTAAACAGCTGTCTTAAATTCAATGAAGACTAAAGAAACGCCACAAAGATTTCTGCAAGACTCTATCTGAATAAGCAATTCATAGAATGCATTTTTCAGATACTAGTGTATACAAGTATCAGGGAAGGACATTCATGAAACTCATACTTCTTTTTAAAGCTTCTGACTCTGCTAGTTTATAACATCAAGGACACTCCTAGCTCGAAACAGTTTACATTTGATAACATAAGGGAACAGCTGACCTCCAATTCATAACAGTTTAGAACACATTCCATCAACTTTGTAATCTACTCTTTACTCAGTACTCACCCAGTCAACCTTACTCTGCAAACATACTTCAGTGTTTCCAGGTAATTTAGTCTGAAAGTTTAACACAATGGCTGATTCTGGAGAAGACACAGAAAACATTAAAAAAAAACAAACAAACAAACATTTAAATATACTCCACATCTTTATTTTGTGGTAACTGCCACAAGAACATTGCTGAAATCCAACTGCAAAGAGATTATATGGGCATGTAGTCAAAACCTGAAATTTTAAATCACCATAGGATCATTTTCCATTTCTTCCATGAAGTTTAAAGAAAGTAAAAATTTATCATGTTCACATCAGCACTGCTGTTACTTTCTCTGGCCACCAAAGTACTTGTAATTTAACAATAATAGTAGCTGTAATACTTCAATATCTAGATAGCATACACAGGTTTAAAAACAAACCCACAATTGACATAAATACTGCATGATTTTTTTCTAAGGCTTTTGTTTTAAACTTGTATGAAGGCTAGACAAGAACAGTACAGTGCAGTATAGCATGCCTGCAATAAAACCTGAACAATAATCTGTTACATTATAAGTGTTTTATGTTTTCAAAGGAGGAGTTAAGTAACCCAAGAAATCCAGATTTAATAGAGAAGCCTGATCCAGCTTTCTGAAGCTGGAATTGCAGATGCCTAGCTAGAACACCACCAGAGTTCTGAATAAACCTAATCTAGTTTTAATTCAGACTTTATCACAGAGATGATGCAGTAAACTTCACACACAGCAAGACATTTACGCATGACTGCAGTTTGAACAAAGTCATTAAAAAAAAAAAAGTCACCTTACATGTCCTTGTTATCTCCTCAAAAGCAACTGCAGCTTTGCCAAAGTGAACCGTATGGTATCCATGCTACTCACCTTGTTTAGAAGACAGATGATGCACAGGTCGTGCTGCCTGAAGGGATTTACCAATAAACTTTTTAGTTTCCCTTAACATTTTGTACCACGACACTTGTAAAAAACCACCAGAAGTCAATACAGAGCATTCAGTTCCACATGGGGATGCTAAGAAAGAACAGCAGTCTATCTACTACTCATTAATTGCATTTGACAAGAGAATATACTATATTTTAGTATCTGGACAGGAAAAAGAAGGCCTAACACAGAAATTTTATTACATGACAGAATATACTGGATAGAATTTGCATAAGGACAGAATCAGACATACCTTTCATTTTTCCTTCCAACTGAGCTACCCTAGTTTCTTTTTTTAAAGATTTTTTTCTATATGCTTGTCTGCACACTTGGAGAAAGGAGATGGGGACACATGATGGAAATGAAGGTGTTTTCTAACAATTTAATTAACTGGGTTAACTAACACTAGTGTACCTTGTACAGTCTACTGGCTGTAGAAGTTCCATATATATCTACATAAAACTTGCATAACTGGCTTTTAATATCTACTTTAGTAAAATTAATACAGTTTTGCAACTTCCCACTCATTTTAGCTGCTTATAGAAGCACCAAAAACTGCTAAAGTGGTGCTGGGCTGACAGATCTCCCACTATATGTAAACCATTGGTCATAAAATCTTAACTTGTAATATCTATACCTTAATTTTAATCCTACCCCCCTCCAATCTCCTTTGTCAACTGGGAGATTTCACCATTTGAAGGAACTTCAACTTCTTTTAGAGAAAAAGAACAGCAGAAACAACTAACATAATAATGAACGGTACTGAAATTGTGTTTAAGAGACTTTACAGGACAAGGGAATAATTGTTATAACAAAAAAAATCCAAAGTAAACAAACATGACTTCAAGATTTAAAACTGTAGAGATTATTAGCCCGTTCCAGTATGGAACAGGAGAAAAGTTAGGCTATTTAAAACATGATCCAGCATCACTCCCTACATTAACTGGTCTTTGCATTTGGGGGGGGGGGGGGGGAATCACTTGATGATTTACTAAATTAAAATCTTTTGAACACCTAACTTTTATAATATTCAAGTAACAACTTTTCAACATAGCCAGTTTGAACCTATTCAGGTCTAGAAACCAACCGTTAAATCTTTACTGTCTGAATTACATCAGTTGAGCAAAAGTCAGGAAAAAAATTCTGGTTTGATTCCCCAGGTGTGCTACCTTCTCACCTTAAAAATGAAAAATTGAAAGCTGTAGTCAAAAGCAACAATCAAAATTCCTGCAGGTAAATGAACTGAAACTACTGACATGAAAGATTTCATTTTATCCAGATCAGGAATACTTGTTCAAATCATATTATTCAAGATACTAAATTTCCATATAGAGCAATGCATTGGAAGATTAAAAACATTAAATTTTTCTCCATGCCCTGACTGCAACTTATATGTACCCTTTTTAAAAACAGGAGAAACTGTTCAAGAGGCTAGCTTCGACAAGATAGCACACCTCTATTTTTAGTGTTCTCCTTACTATAAAAACAAGATCACTTATGGTGACAGCAAAATGGTGCATTTTGCCCCTTTACCCCAACCCAAAATTTCTATGAGGAGGATTTCTAAGAAACCCCATACTCCAAAAACAAGGAAAAGAAAACAGAGTATGAGAGAGAGTGAATTTTGGGCAGAGGGGAAATAAAAAAACAGCTCTATTTCCTTCTTGAAGCACAAGAGCCTAGAAAAGATCTCATATCACCCAGCCCAACCTTCTTGTATTAATAGTGTTCTATCTAGTATCAAGAAAAGTGGAGAAGAATTAGTTTTAATAGCTGAGAAATAAACTGTTGCCATAAGAGACTACTACTTCAGAGGTGCCTTCTGCACCCCAAGATCTCCCCCTTACAAAGGCCATACTGCTGCTCAGGAGTTGCTCCAACTGGTGACCTGCCTACCGAGAGGAAGCTCCATGCATTAGCAAACGGGCCTAGCAGGGTTTCTGCATGACCTTTTAGTTTTGAGCATCTGAACAAACTGGACATTCACAGTAGACAGATGATGAGGGCCATCAGAAATGTTCTTTGGAACACTCCTTTCTGAACACATGAATGGGAATTAACACAATTCTTGCGAAAAGCCCCTCAGCGCCCCGCAGGCCCACGAGTAACCAAAACCTGACAATCTCCCCTCGCCCGAAGAGGCACAGCGCTGTTCTACCCAGAGCCCTCACCGCAACCACCACCGTTCCCCACCAGCCGGACAGAAGCCGCCACCATCCCGAGCAGCGGTGCTTACGGGCAAGAGGTGGCGTCCCCTGGCGGGTCACCTCACCGCCTGTCAGGCCCTCACGCCCCCGAAGACTGCCCCGGCCCACCTCAGGCCGACCCCTAGCCCACCTCTGGCCTCCTCCCCAGCTGTCCTCTGTCCGATCCTTAGCCCACCTCTGGCCTCCTCCCCAGCTGTCCTCTGTCCGATCCTTAGCCCACCTCTGGCCTCCTCCCCAGCCGCAAGCAGCGCCTCTGCCCCAGTACCCCGGGGGCGCGGCTCAAGCTTGGCGGCAGCTACCACAGCGGGGAGCCGGGAGGGGTGAGGCGCCTGAGGCCGTTTAACGGTCGCGTCGTCAAGCAGGTGGATGGGAGGGGGGGGCGGGTGTAGCCGAGAGGCTGCCTTGGGCGCCCCTTGGTGTGGCCGTGGCTTCTTGCCGCTACCTGCTGGTTAGGGAGCGAGTGCACACTTGAAGGCTGCCTTTCGGGTCGCGAAGGGTTTTGTCGGCCATGCCAAGGTGCAGGAAAGGCGTTGTCGCTAGCTCCCTCTTGTGTCAGGACAGAGAGGGACTGGAAATGGTGTCCGTAGATCTACTCCGTCCCACAACGCCTAGTCAGGGAATCATAGGATGTTTGGGTTGGAAGCGACCCCCCCGTCATGTCCCCTTCCACTAGAACAGGTTGATCAAAGCCCTGTCCGACCTGGCCTTGAACACTGCCAGGGAGTGAAAATTAAGAGAAAATAAGTGACATCTGAACACAACTGCAAGTCCTAAACAACTAAACTCATCCAGAAAGAAAAGTAAAATCCACAGGCCTGGGAAAGCAGTCAGATAGAGTTGTGAACCAGAAAACAGCACTTGCCAGCCTGCCGGTATCACACCCACCTATTACACGTGTGTGAGGGACCACAGAACAGCCACTGGCTTTTGATTTACATAAGTGATGGCATCCTGCATGTTTTGGAAATGAAAATGTATTTTTTCTTACAACATGTAATCACAGTAACAGTGGAAATGCCCTGGTAACTCACAAGGGGGGAGACTAAAATTCCCTGATGTTAATTTGTTAGATTCCAAATAGTCACCTTATTTACATAGTAATGTAAAGTACACATTACTGAAAAGTCCTTACATTTTTTTGTTTGTTTTTTTGTTCTGTTTTCTGTTTGGCTCTGTTTTCTGGTATTTCATAGCACCTGCTACCTCTGACTCCAGAGGTTCAGAGTAGGTGGTTAACATCAAGTATGTAACAATTACATAAATAGCAAGTACTTAAATAACAGGTATTTAATTATTAATATCCAATGGTAAGATTTACGGTCCTGGTTTGTTATATATAAAGACAGTTTTTGTTCTAACACCAAGCATCTTGGTTTGTCTTTGTTGCAAGCTCTGATTTTTATTTTTCTTAAGTGTGCAGAGTTAAATACCGTCCTGAAATAAAGGCTGTTATACCTAGGAGTCATGCTTCTGTAGTCTTCTCTCATAACACGTCATCTTCCAGTTAATTTTCTGAATTGTCCATGCATGGTGCACCATCACATTCTTTTTGCAAACACTGATGCAGTATATCTGCATGCTTGCAAACCCACTTGCTGCCATTTAAATCTGGTTTGAAGTACTTTCTCCCAAGTTAATTCATTTATACTCAGAAATATATATCATGTTTCTTCTGACCCATTATTTATATTCACAGGACTGTCATGTAAAAGTTACTCCCCTATTCATGGTTACCTATTTATGTTATTTGTGTTAACCCTTTCTCTACATCAGAATCAGTACCAGTTAATAATATGTAAGTGCACATAATTGTCTGTTGCTGCTGCAGAGCAGTTACTGGTGGGAAAGTCAGTGGAGCAGCCAAGACAAAGATATGTTTTTTCATGGGGCTGTTGTGTTTTTTGAAAGAAGAGTGTCAGGTGCTACAGACCAGATTTGCACAAGATCAACACAACTTTTTTGTGGTTGACATATCAAAATGGTATCACGTAATGTATCCTTCCAGTGTTTTTGCAGATTTAAATATGCTAATGATGAAATAAATAGTAAAAAAACTCACTTGTGTATTTCACAAGGGCTGTAGACTAGGCTCTTGGTTTTAACATATATGGGAAGGAGAAGGAGCAGGAGCAGAAATAGGGCAAAAGGAAAGACATGGAGAGTGCCAGATATTTTGAAAGCTTGTTGCTCCTGGACCTGCTGGGAAGCTGGGAATATTAGGGTTGGTAATGGCTAGTTTTTGAGGCGCTGACCATCCCAGCAGGAGTAGTTAACACCTCACACGCTGCTGCCCGGGAGTTGGCAAAACCAGCAGTAGCAGTGAGGCCAGCTTTCCAGCAGTCTGGCATAGCCAGAGGGAGCACTGGACCACAGCCATTTCGTAGATCCCAGCAACCTGCTGTCTCAAGCAACTTGGCCTCTGCCTAGAAAGACTCCTGCTTCTGATTGAGGGAAGTGAAAACATATGCTAACGTTTCTTCTGCTTTATCAGTTGTCTCTCAGTTTGCCTGGTGCTTGTAATTAACCTACTGGAAATTTCTACTTTATTTGCTATTGTTTTATGTTCATATATTACATGTGTTCTCTCAAGTACCTGATATATGCAATATTTAATGTAAAGAGTTAATGACAGGCCTAGCCAAGAAAGATTTATTACATATAACAAAATATAATTATTAGAAGTTTTATTGCCATGTGAACAAAATGTATATATGTAGGAGAAAAACACTGCAAAACCAACTGCTTGATGAACCAGAGAGATTATTTCCTTTGTTTAAATATATTGCTTCTGCTCCTAAAGGCTACAGATTGCAGAAAACCATGCAATCACATTCCTTTTTCTAGATAGGGTTTAGGAAAGCATAGAACATTTAAAAAAACAGTATCAATATTGCATGTATAAAAATGAGCAGTTGCACATCTAAATGAGCGTGTAATTGTAATTGCACATGATTTTAGTTTTGTAGTGGATGGCACTTAATAGGAAAGTAATGGCTTTGTGCTGAAATGAAAGGACTCCTGGGTCAGCCTGAGGGCAGACTTGTAGTTGCAAGTTTAAAAAGCCATTTTTCTGGTGTGATTTGTTATTCAGTTGTACAGTCAAATGTAATCATTCTATTTGCAAGTGTAATTGTAATTTATTTAGCAGCACTTTTTTGGGAGACGCTTTTTTTTTTTTTAAGGCACTTTCAAAGCAGTTTCATGACATTATTTCCAATGTTACATGCTTTATTAACCAGTCAACAGAACAAACACCAAGAGACAAGAGCATGTAAATATATATGTGTACACAGAGAGTATTTTTATTGTACATTTGTGAAGTGGCTCCTACAGCTAAACTAGTGACTTGTCCTGAGGCAGCAGCACAGGGGAAGAATGCAAAAGCTTTTTTACCCCCTGGCTGTTCCTGAAGTTGAGCTATGCACTGTATTGGTGCTGTGCCATCAATACATTTAAGAATTCAGGTTCATCATGAGTATTACTCTTGTTCTTTTTGACTGGGGAACTGTTGAATTAAAGTGGGAAACTATTGCTGTATTTACTGATTACCACATGTAAATATAAAGAGGTTTGTTCAGCATATAATACTATGCACATTAATATATGCAAACATATTTTCTTCACATACAAAACTTTAATTTCTGTAAACTGTCATGCTTCTCTTGGATTAGGATTTTTGTCTTTAAAGTTAATTTTCTAGGATCATTAATTTTAACATATTCTCAACATTTTTCTGCAATATTTCTGATTTCTGTGAATGTGGAGAAAAATCTTGACAACATGGATCAAAGGCACCATACAAATACCAAAAAAATCCCCAGATGGTAAATGAAACAAATTTTATAACTAAATATATAAAAGACATCTCAAAATTAAGCATTCATTATCAGGGAGGTGGACAGCCTTGCTCATGTCTCACCACTGAGAGATGGCAGTACTGAATTGCAGAGGTTAGTTACCACATCTAAACTGAACAGAGCATTCAGGCTGTGTGACCTGAATATTCCCAGTAGCTGCAGACACCAAACATCAAAATTTCAACTGACCTTATTTTGTAGGCTCTGAAAAGCCACCTGCACGTCCTGCTTCCTGAAGGGGATTTCAGAAGCTACTGGCAGGAGGATTAAAAGGCAGAAATGCTGATGGAACCTGTAGGCTCTCTATGTCACAGAGGTTTTTCCTAGGCAGCAGGGTCTGCTCTTACTGCCTGCACCAGCACAGGGGCTGCATGCTTCTCAGAGTTGCCCTTTTGGTTTTGATACACAAAACTGTTCCTCTGTTGAGGGAACTGGCGTGTGGAGGGCTCATCTCATGCAGAGCTTCATTTTGCCATGATTGCCTCGGATAGTGGAAAAAGATGCCATGGGACAGTTGATCTGCAGAGAAGGAAAATTGCCAGACTGCAACAAACAGCTTGATGAACTAACTCTGTATATGAAGGTGGGTATTAAAAAGTATCAAAATAGCTGCTACTTGCTTATTTCTTTGCATTATCAAAAGCATAAGAGAAAGAAGATAAGAAAGATTTATGGTCTTGCACAAATCAATCAATAAGAATTATCCACATCTAATATTATTCAGAACAACAAAGTTTTATAATCTATGTATACATACACTTATTAGTAGATGATTATTTTTTTTAACTATATATATTTCTTTTGTATGTTTTTATGTATGCACAGGGACAGACTCTTGCATTTAATAGTTGATAATATCCTGGAAGAGCTCAATTTGCTGTGGGAGACTGGAATTCTGAAGTTGTGGCTTAATGAATTTAGTGCAAGTTTTGTACTTTTTTCCTGGGTTTGGCCCATAATTTCACCAAATATTTGTATAGATTCCTTTCTCTGAATTCTCACCTGTGATACAGCTATCATAGCTGAATTACAAGACCTAAAAATCTTTATATATACTGGAGTTATTCTCTGAATCTGAACATTCAAGAGAAATCAGCTTATGCACCAA